GAGTTTGAGTCTTCTTTATATATTTAGACGCGTGGCTATTGGCTATGGTGGCTATAGAGAGTATTGAAGGAACGGTTGTATTCGGCATGCGTTCGTGTCATCTGCAGGGGCTATCCTACTAAGTTTCTAGTAGCTAAGGCTCATAGTCATTTCACTTCAGCTTCAAACGCATTCGCTTTGGTGATGTTTGGGGCTACTGGTGTGGTGGTTTAGTTTTTTTTTTGGTGATTTATGTTTTTTTTTTTGTTTTTCCACCATTTCGAGTACTCCACCTTGACTCTTGAGTCATTTTAGAAGTCTCTTGAGAGAGCATTATTTTGTGTAGGTGGAGAGGCTTCTGTGTTTATGTGACTCAGCTTTTAGTAGAAGATCTAAGGGGCTTTATAAGAGCTCTAGTACGCACATAGTTGACACTGTGGTTGTTCCTGTGTGCTCCCTCTGGGTCTGTACTATATTACACTTCCTATGCATTTCCTCTAGTACGATTTGGTATCCAGTATCGTCCGGTCCAGGTTAACTACTTAGGGGCCTCCAGGTGAGTCGACATTTTATAGCATTTCTCTCCTTCCTCCGGTACGATATCTTTTTGGGGTAATGAGAGGCTGTATACTAGATACGTTTATTGGGTGAACTTAACCCGGTCGCAGACATCTTTGGCAACTAGAACGCCCAGAAGGGACACTCTTACATTTCTAGTATACATTGCTATGTTAGGGGGTGCCTATCAGGTTTTTAGGGTCATGCTGGAGGTATCGTAGCAATGTTATATTTGTACTTTAATGCTGTTTTTTATGATTTTTCTGCTCTATTTTTTATTAGTTCATTGATTTTTTGCTTTTCATGTTTTTATACATGTTATTATGGTTTTATTGATGTTTGTTTTGTTGGAAGTTGTTGCTTGGTGATGCTATTGATGTGTTAGTGATGATCGTGTGTGTGTAAGGTGTGGTTAGATATATATATAATATATATACTCTATTATATTTTTTGGTGGGGTCGTGAAGTGCTTGTTCTTTTCAATTCAGGTATTACATTTGAGAAGTTTATCTTGATTTTGTCAAGGTGTTGTCAAAATATTTTTTCTTTTTTGGAAAAATGCACTTTATGTTCGACCCGAATTCACGGTAGCTTATTATTCTTTTTAAAAATAAAACATATTTTGTTGACATGAATAGCTATGAAATTCAAAGGACAGGCGAAAAAATTGCGATCGATTAGCGACCGTCCTTTCCCAATTTTGCTATCTTGATCATTTTAGGTGGGAAAATTTTTGCGAACCTGACATTTTAGTGATGATAAATGTATTTTTTTCAAGCGATTTGGCGACAATCACTTTAGGTACAAATTGTTTACCGAACTTGCGATGGATTTTTCTGTCATTGTTGCAAACGAGCTTTGGGGTAAGTTCGACAATTTTGCGTCCGCATTTTTTTCTAGTCCGCGGAAAGTATTTGAGATGAGTAGTTTACTAATGAATTTGCAACCAATTTTTGTCAATTTGCGTGAACTGATTTGGGCGATTCGTGTAATATCGCCGAAATTTTTGTATGTGAATGCAAATCAAGCTCGGCTAACTTGTTGTAACTATTGTTGGAACTTTTTTCTTGGCATCATTTGTTGGTTGCCGTTGGTTGAACTCTTGTTTCTACTAGAAATCCGTTTCCCTAATCTGTTCGCAATCCATTTCCATTCCGTTCCTAAATTGTGAAATCAGAAATTGAAGTGCATTGGTCCGGTTATTCAAGTCCGTTTCTTTATCCATTTTTATTTAGGAAACCGAGACCAAATCCGTTGTAAAATATCTGTTGTCATTCACAATTTTTCTTGTAGTGTAATGTGTAGAGATTTACAATCCTTTTATATGAAAACTAAGCTTCCGTTTTATATAAAATAGAAAATTTTTTAAGCTTAATAATTTTCAAAAACTTAAAACTAAAAGTCATATTTAACATTTAAATAAATTCAATATCTCTATTGTTGAGGCTAGGTTGAAAGTTTAAATTGTAAGTTTCTTAAACACAACAATTAGTTCTTCAAACACATAAGCTTACGTGAATACGATATAAAAATTAACAACACTTCTTTTTGTAATTGAACAAACAGTATATTTTATTAATAATTTGGTTTTTTATCAAAAACCCAGTGTTTTTCTCCGAAAATCCAAGCCAACAATTATAATTCAAACCCCAAAACCACCCAAAACTAATTCAGGGTTAAAACGGGTTTCGGTAAATGCGTACACACATTGGTTTTGAATGGTGATAATTTGCAAAAAGCTTTATATATTTCCCTAAGTTACATGATTGGACAACTTTAAAAGGTTTAACAATGTCGCATCAGATTACGATAAAATTTATTCAAATACTCCTCGATACGCCGTTTAAACACTTAAAAATAGTGTCCCTATTATTTATTTTCTTTTATTAATTTTGGCACACTTTAAGGACACATGCTATAGATACTTTTGAATTCAGAACATTTAGCATAACACTTTCAACACGTTGGAAAAGTTACTATTAGACTTTATAAAATTTTATTAATAAAAGTTTTTTACAATGTTTTGTCTTAAAAGTATATTTAATTTATAATTATAGTACTTAAAATACAGAAAATTAAAGAAACATAAAAAAATAAAAAACTTTTATCTCCGAATTAATTTTAAGATTTATATAATTTATTTACATATCTTATTATTAAAATCAAATTTCAGAACTTCTCCCAGAATGTCTAATTTGAAATCGATAGTTTCACAAGACTTTTAATGAACAAAAAAAAAAAAATGAGTCTGTACCAATATGCTATTTGAACAAATTGAAATATGGAAATCAATCGGAGATTATTTTAATGCTCTTTTTTTTTTTTCTTTTTTGAAAGAATTATTTTTGATCTCTTTAAAAATGGTTTGAAATTGTTGAAATTGTCAGATTTATCTCAAATAAGATAGAATACGCTATGAATTTTGCGTTGATGATGATATTAATTTTGATTTATTATTATGTGGAAAATGAAAATAATTAAGTTTTTTTTTATTATATTTAATTGTTCTATAACTAGTTTATTTACTTATTTGAATTATTATATAATTATACTTATTTTAGTAGAAGAGTTGTGCCTAAAGACTTCAGAGAAAACATGTGTTGGTGAATGAAATGGGAGTGTATTGCAATTGATGTATTGAAGTTCGATTTAATATGAGGGTTCGTTACAACAAACCGTATATGAATGACTATGATTTAGATAAGAAGAATATAGACTCTTTACCTCGATAAGATGGCTATGACTAGTTACATCCCCTCATTCGAGCCTGCAAGGAACGATTGCTAAAATCTACGACAAAGATATGAAGTTGGTGGACACTGTCTTGATTAATGTGTTTGGCTTCCGAGCAGTTAGATAAACCAATTTGATAGGCAACAGTGATTCCAAAAATTGAAACAGAAACAACCAGCTGTACAACAATGCTGATCTTGACCGAAACCAAGCTACAATATTAAGGATGACCTATGACTATTAATTCATGTCCCATGTGTCTGCAACCAAAGTTAATTTACCCACATAAAGTAAATGTGATACTAGATTAAAATTTTTACAACATAAAAATAGTTTTTGATAAAGCAAGCAGATATATATTATTAATTTATCTTAAACCATGAAATATTTAATCATTTCCAAGTAATTAATTTAAGTCCACGCCAATAGACCCTAAGACGTTCAAACCTAACTTAGGAATGTGCTAAGGGCCCTTAACGTAGGATTGCCTTATCATTATCGTTGAAACCATGAAAAGCTCCTTTGTTGATATTTTTTTATTACTGTTCGCTGGCCTCTGCGTTGATGGACCTATCTTTTCGTCTTGAACTAGAGCTTTCTCGTTTGGAGGCAGCTTATCGTTAGAATATGTTAGATGAAACTTGGGATAACTAAATTTGCCTGTTTCATTTTATTAAAAACTGCTCTTATAACAGTATTCCAGAAAAGAAAAGAAAGATAGATCATCAACATACATTAGTAGGAAGAGAACAGTTGAGATAAGAAGAATTCAGATCATCTTGAAAGAAACAAGCTATGAAATAGAAATGAGTAGAAACACACTAAAACCAAAGCCAGAAAAGGAGCACTGGCTTTTGTTTTATTGTATAAAATTCATAAAAACATTTTTTCACAAAAAGGAAAATCATTCCATCCTGCAAAATTTTAACGAACCTTGCTTTTCTTTGCATTCCTGTCCAGTGAGTACCCCAACCAAAGCCTGCTTGGACAGCTCTCAAGGCCATTGGCAAATAATCTTCCAAGTATGTAATCGTCCCTTCTTGTTACGTTGGGCGTTAACCATTTTTTAAGGTATTTTTGTGAAAGAGGTGATAGTTACTCCGGAAAACAACAAACCCTTTTATGTGAATACGTTTTCAGAACCAACTTCTATCAAGGTTGTGTATTCCCCCTTTCATGGTTGTTCTATTAAATTTTGCTGTGACAGCATTGGCAATATTACAATGCGTTTATTGGCGTCCCCTCATATTGAGGTAGCAGCATGAATCTAGCATTTTCCTCCACCAACCATATCAAATATATAGGTCGATGCCTTGAGGAAAACCACCTTGCGTGATGTGAAAGAAATATTAGTTTTCTTGGTGATGTTAAATTTTTTTTTGTTTTCAATTTTGACAAATAAACTTGTAATTTAAATTTTAAGTAATTAACCTTTCAAGGCTGGCACCCAAGCCCTTGTTCTTCATTATATAATTGAAGAGCCTCATCAAAACCTGCCAATTTTGTTTCCTTTAACAAATAAACGCTTTACAATTTGAAATAATAGAAGCAAAAGTTAAATCGATGAAAGCTGATCAATTTTAAAGTAAAACATATAGGTTTCTTGGGGTAGAAGAGATGAAAAAATTGAAAGGAAAGAAATGAATGGAAGCTATATTAACTATGTTAGGGGAAATTAACACGTATTTTTAACAGTGGAAGTGTGAGAGATGCATGATGCATATAGGAACTCACGTTTCCTCTTTTACTTTTCCAGCACTTTCCAAACTACATAGCAAACCAGCCAACTTTGCTAGTTTGGCTCCACGATTTGACCTAATTGGCAACCCGCAGAAGCGTGCTGAAAACAAACACATACTCTCGCCTTTCATTTTGGTAAGCACCAATTCTCATTAAAATCCAACATAGGTCCAGTTATGCCTGGGCATACCTGCAGATTACCAAATCAATAAATAAGTTGCACCAGAAGCTGCTGAAACAAACACATACTCTCCTTTCTTTGGAGCACCAATCTCATTAAATCCAACATAGGCAGTTATGCCGGGCATACCTGCAATTACAAATCAATAAATAGTAGTAAGATGATGAATACTAATTGTAGTTCTGAAGATCAATTAATATTTCAATCAAAAAGAGATCTAGAGACTGCATATACCAAGAATTCCAAGATAATAGGAAAGAGGCAAATCGTCAGTTGGGTTAATTTTGAAGAGAGTTTTTGGTGTTGGTGTTGCAATATGGCTATATTCTTCCCATGTTGTTATTCCCCAAACCAAATCACCTTTCTTGAATTCTGGATGTCTAGAGTCTATAACTTTGGCCACTCCATATCCATATAGAGGCTGCATATCAGTAAACAATAGCCACACACATTTATATTTATTTCTGCAGCATGTCAAAAATACTAAATTTGTTTGGTATAATATCAAAAATAATTAATTAACTAACTGAACCGGGCTTGTAAACGGGAAAATCTAGGCTGAGTGTGACAGTCTTCATTAGGTTTCTCATGTAGCGATCACAAGACAAGTAGAGATTCTTGACAAGAACTCCATTACTTCCTTCTGGGACTTGGAGTTTGATCAGATTACTACTCAAATACATGTCTGATTCTTCAGGGTAACGTGTATTCGCATAATTTTTGAATATAACCTGCTTGTTGCTCACTGTTTCTTCATTTGCACCAGGCATTTTGCTAATTAAATAAGCTTTCTCTCAACTGCAATTTCCTAATAGAATGACTATGAAAATTGATTGATTTTGGTTCTTTATAACTGGGTGTATATATAATCTATCAGCACGTGAACGATTGCACGAATTCAGTTTCATTTATTTGATCGGTCAAAGTTTAAACAAAAGATTTTATCTCAGCTGTTCATATAATTTGTATATCATAGCTGTTCATTGATATTTAAACAAAAGTTGCAAAATTCTATCGTAGTTTCCTTTACTTTATCCAATGATATTTTTAAGGGGAAGAAATATTTTATATCAATTGACTGTCTCAACCGATAAAATTTTTCTATTAAATGTATTTGGCTAGATTATTTTGACATAAATTAAAATGAATAATTTTATTTAATAAAAATCTTAATATTTTTTAAATGTTAACTCAATTAAATTTCAGCTTGTAACTCCATTATTTAATAAAAAAAATTTTATGTTTACTAAATACCAAAAAATTAATTAAAATAAAAAAAACAAAAGATAAAATGCCATATTAACAATTCTACATTTTAATGTACTATCACGTCATCAATAATGCTTTAGAAATTATATGTATTAATAAGTAAATTTTGTGGTTACAAGCAACTTGGTTATTTTGAGGCGTTTGGCCATTAGAAAATATTGCTGGTGGCGTACTGACCGAAATGTCAGGATCCCGTCTTTGGTTTGGTTACAGGCCTTAATGACAGTGCTTGCACAGTTCAGTGTACAGGTTAAGCTTTTTATGGCTGTTGAGTTCTTTATTTATTAGTTTTAGTTTTTCGTTGTAGCCTTTATACGTGTATATATAAAATCCGCATTTCTTCCTTTGTTGGTGGAGTTATTGTTGACATTAAAATAAAATAAGATTACTATGGGAGACTTAGGCTAATTGGTATTTGTATAATTGGTTAGAAGTAAAGAATTAAAGATGTAAACATCAAAATCATTTATTAGTAATTGACATTAAAATTTTATTTCTTTGATTTATGATTAATAAAAACATATATATACATGCATAATATTTATCTCCTCATTTGGTAGAATTATTATTGAAATTGTGGTGAATTTTATTTTTTCCCTTTGTTTTAATAAATAATAAAAGAATATAATATTCCTACCTTTAATTTTTTAAGAATTACCTTTGAAATTTGAATGGTATTTTAGTATTTAAAATTAAGAAATTTTAAACATGAAATTAAATTATAATTTTTTGTAATACCAAAAATATTAATTCTTAAAATTTATGTGGATTATGAAATAATATCGTGTCAAAACATAAATTATAAAACAATCCACACTCAAAGTAAAAACTTTCACCTATTTTTATATATAAATTAAATGATTTTGTACGCATATTTTTCAAATTCATGTTGTCAATTAAATATTAACATATATAGTTGTTTTTAGATTCTTTGGTTTTTCAAAATATTCTATTGAATGTTGACATATAATAAAATTGTTGTCCCAATTGAATAGATCTAGTTCCTACTAACCGTAATTTTTTTAATTAAAAATTGTGGATACATATTTTGGCATGGCAGTACAAAAATATTTTTTATTTGAATCATAAGATATATATCTTGAATAAACTGGCTGTACATATAGGGATTTTGCGCTTAACAGGGATTTTTTTACTTAAGTTAATATTGAATTCAACAATGTTTTGAAAATTAGACCGGTCATTGAACCAGTGAGGGCAGGAGATTATTGAACCGGGAGGTTCAATTGGTTCAATACGGTTCAATCGAATTTTTTATATATAATATTTTTAAATATAATTAAAAATATAAATTTTATTAATAATGAAAAAATAATATAAAAAGGGTAAAATTGTTCAGTATCCAATCAAACTCAACTGTTCAAATATTACACTACAATTATATAATATTGTTCACCGTTCAATTAAACTAAATAATTCAAAGGAATACTACAATTCGATATCATCCAATCAAACTCAACAATTCGAATCCCAATCTACAAGTACTAAATATATAATCAAACTCATCAATATTATTTAACATCCATAAAATAAGCCTAAACATTGTTCAACATGATAAAATAAAATATCCATTCTTAATCGTAATAATCTCTAAGATCTCCTAAATTTTGCTCAATTTCAATATCTTCAGATTCACTGCTTGCATCAATATTAGCAATTCATTAACAATTCAACTCAGCATAACAAATCATAGAAAAATACAATATTAAAAAAAAAAAGTCATATTTAGATTAATAAAAAAGATAAAGAAGTTAAAAGATATCAAAACAGGTGAGATTAAATAAAGAAGTTAAGATCATCAATACAGATGCGATTAGCAAGATCATCATATTCAAGTTAAAGAAAAATAAAAAATTCATAATCAGATTAAAATAAAGTCATTTAAATAATTTTAAATTTCCATTGTTAGTCAAATAAGAGACCCTACTCAAAGTTCGGCTTCTCTTTACTAGAAATAAAGTCTCCGTTCACTAGTGTGTTCATATATATATATATATATATATATTAGCTAACTAATTAGAGATATTAACTGTTGGGATAACCTCCAAAGTCCCATACGGAACAAAAATGCGAAGAGGAATCAAAATATAATAGTTCAATCCAACTTATTAGTATGAGGCCTTTTGGGAGGTGTCCAAAAATAAATTCGTGAGGGCTTGGCCCAAAGCGGACAATATCATACTAATTCGGAGTTGAGTGAGGATACGCACGGCCCCAACATTAACTTGCATATGCATGGCACAATGTTCCTAGCTTTCACCCAATATCCACGTAAATTTTGATTTTCCAAATCATGCAAGATCTTGTTACAGCTAACAAATATCTAAAAGTCTCATATTCAATTCTCCAACCCATCAAAAACGAAAATGCAATCAATGATCTTGTCTTTGAACTTATGCAGTGTTCAAAAAGCCAACTTGAAGGAAACCATTCATATATATATATATATACACACAGTTATCCACACGCATATATAGTCAGATTTTTCTGTTTTCTTTTGGTTTTTTCAATTCAAATATGCATATCTAACTACTCGATGTAATATGGATCAAAAACCTCCAAGCTATCACGTACTGGATATAATATATTTTAAGTAGGAGAGATAGAAAGGGACTGTGTTTTCTTTTTTTAATGTTGCCATTTGATAATGGTATTTATGAGAGGCTTATGCTTCTCACCATGCCTTCACAGTATGGAACCATAAATCAACTCTTTAAATTTATGGATTATGATTTGCATATTGCATTGCCTTTACTATACAGTTGTAAAAAAACAAACAAACAAACTCACATACAGATGAGTTTTTTTGTTAATAAATGAATGTTTAATTAATAATATATTGTTTTGTTTGTTAGAATTTTATTATGGTAAATGAAGAGTTTATAACTGTATAAGTTTTAAGAACGTTCAAATAAATTTTTTTAATGAGTGCAATAATAATTAGTCATTATTTATTTTTGTTACTGTTTTATGTTATTAAAAGATGAGGTGTGTAATATTTTTTTTGTTATTATTTTATAACAAATAATTTTAGACATAATTTTAGAATAATAAATTAACTAATAATTTGTGTCATTATTTGTGGTTTTAATTTTAGGCATAAATTTTTTTGTCCCTTTTTTTGATATTCATTTAGTTATTTTTTTTCTTCTTCACTTTTTTAAAAGTAAATGCCAAATTTTTCTATTTTTTACTTTTTTTCTAAAGGTTTTTTTTTACCCTTTACGAACCTAATATATTTTTAATGCGGCATATAACTCAATTACTACCATATAATTGTGCTTCTTAATATTCAATGCAGTAAAAGGATTTTTTTTTTTGTTACTTCATTTTCTCTTTGAAATCTCTCCCAATTAAGATAAAAGGACAATAAAAGTCATACAAGATATATTTTTTTAACTTCATTTTCTCTTTGAAATCTCTTCATTTTCTCTTTGAAATTTCTCCCAATTAAGATAAAAGAAAATACTCAAATATTATAAATTCTCTCTCTTCAAATGAAGCGCCACATCAGCCTATAGGAAAAATTCATGATCATCATTTATATATATACTAGTCATGTACATGTGCGATACGCGAATTGTATAATTTTCTATTTGTTAATTAAATACTTTGCTTATTTATTTTTAATTTAAAAATGAAAAATAAGACTATAATTTTTTTTTTTGAAATTCTCAAATAGTGAACTGAAATATTAATTAGCACAATTAATTATTGTAAGTAGATTATTGTAATTCAACTGATACAGTGAATTAATTATTTTTTCTTTTTAAAATTCTCATATATTCAAATTAAATGAGGTATAAAAATAAGTAGTTTTAATTAAATAAATTTTAGTGAATTAAAATTAATTTTTTAATTCTATTTGTTAATGTAGCTACATTATATAATTAATTTTTATTAACTAAGACTCTATTAATTATAACTTCATTGGAAAAAACTATTTAACAAAAACTTAATATTTATTAAATGTACAAAAAATATTAATTATAATGGATGATCCATTAAATTTATCCGTTTGTAACTCCATTATTTAATAAAAAATTTTAACGTTTATTAGATGCAAAAAGATATTAAATATAAAGAAAAATAAAATTCTATATCATTAATTTCATATTTTAATATGTTGCCACGTAAGCATTTATGCCTTAGAAATTATATATAAATGATGTTTTGGCGCAACGTAAGCATTTATGCCTTAGGAAAATTGAATGTGAATAGTATATAGTAATGATATAATATTATGATATATTTAATATATATAGTATATATATAGTATAGTATATAATATATTATGATATAGTATAAAATGATAGTAAATGGAATGATGTTTAAATATATTATGAATTTATGTATAGAGACTCTATGCAATAAAAAGAAGTCAAGGCTATGGCAATTCTGAGATGCCATTTATCGAGGAGAATAAAGTAGATATCAAGAGTAAGTTTCCAAAGTTTTTTGAATAATATTAAATTTCTGCTTC